CATTATTTAATGCTTGGAACCATTCATACTTGATTCCAACATAAAATACATAGTTGAAAACTCCCTGCTTTTTGATGAGGGTTTTTTTGTTTGTTTTTTTTAATTTCTTTAAACCTCTTCAAGGCTGAAGCAATGACACCATCACAATTGTTAATTATTTGGTAAACTGTGACTTCTTGCAGTAGACAAGTTGTTAGTGACCTTTGTTCATGCATCCGTGACTAATGTGCTATCTGGACTCTTCTGGAAAAGGCATCCAGACATCGCTGCTCTGTGTTGGGATGGAATGGCTAGGGCTCAGTCATCTTTAGCAGGTGAGCTGCATTTACTATCTACGTGATTAGGAAGTGTCTTCATCTGTAATTCATTTGATTATGTTTTCCTAAAGCTAGTGATTTTCTTGTTCTATATGTTACCAATTCTAAATCAAAGTAATTACTGTAGGAGTTTTAGAAGAGTTGTGAGAAACAGCAGCATTAGGTACTCTACCAACACTGACATTAAAAAAAACATGGCTAAGAGCTTGGCATTACAGTAGACTACTAGATAGTGTGTATTTACATGCCAGCCTGTGGAAGCAAAGAGTTGGATGGTGATTTATGGCAGTATTGGGAACGTGTTCAATCCTTAAAGGACAGACCACTTACTTTGGTAATTATCTCCATTGGAGGGTCTGAAACCCAGCAAGAATCTTATAGTCATGGAATGTTATTTTGACTTGGTGGCATTCGGATTCCATTTTATGAGCTAATTTCACTGCACCTCACCCAAAGGGTTTAAATCAGCATGTTACATATTTTGCAATTAAGGAAATATGACTATAAGCCATGAGTCTTGGTGAAGCATATTGTGATTTAGGTCGATTATCTTCCAGATTTAAAGATCTTAACTTTATCCTGGAGCACAAATTCTTACACGATATTTTGAATTATTTTGTAACACTTCAGGATGTTTATGATTTGAGCAGCCTATAAACAATGTTTGGGAACTTAAGCTCCATGCTAAATGTTGGGAGTCCCAAGCGATAAGGGGGATTTTGCCTTCAAGGACTGTGTTATCTGAGGAGGCAGGGCGTGTGCAGCAAAATACAACTAGCAAAGCCACTCACTGTGATAAGTTCCACTTGAAATGTGAAGCTGGGTGCTTGCTCTGCCCCCCGCCCAAAGTGCCCTTACTGCAAATACACCTCCCTGAAGGCTTTGCCCAGTGACCACCTTCCCATAAACTTCTCCTCGATCACCTATTTTAAAATAGCACACCCATCCCTGCATCCTTCACGCCCCTTCCCTGCTTTATGTTCATAGCACCTACTGGCGTCTGAGATGTATCCTGTTTTTCAGTCTCCTCTCACTAAAACAAACTGAGGGCAGGGAGTGTTTATCACTTTATCCCCAGGGTCTAGAACAGTGCCTGGCATTTGGTAAGTGATAACTAAGACAGTGTAAATGAATGGATAGTTGGGAAAGACATTTCAGAAAAGAACTGCTTAAATGTGAAGGGAACAATGGGACCTAGACTTAACCTAATGTTAGTAAGGAGAGAAGTCCTAAAGCATCCCAGGTAGGGGACAAAATCATGAAAATTTGCCTTTTATCTTGGTCTATTTTGTTTAAACATTGTCCATGAGTGGTATAAAATCACTTTTTCAGATATTTTAGAACTGTATTTTACAAATCAAGCTTGAGTATCAGGAGCTATTACCATTTGGGTATATTGCCTGTGATACATTGTATCCACACCTCCATTGTGATGTCATCAGATCGCCTCAGATGAAGGACAACTCTAGCCATCCTGTAACTTTCCTGTTACATTATTAACTTTTATGTTGCTTATTCTGTGTTGACATAGTATGTTTGAGCCCGCTTGTTATTCCAGTTAAAGGTCAGGAGAAGGTAAAAATTCTAATGGCCTTACATTTTAATTGTGAAACTCACAGGAGAATGTATAATAAAACAAACACGTAACCACTCTTCAAGTAAAGAAATAGAACACTGAACCACCTGTGGGTCCATCCTCAATTTTGTTTCACTCTTTTCCTTCAGGTAACTCTTATGTACTATCTAGGCTGCATCACCTAAACACAGTATCTTGTATAGTTTGGAGTAATTAAGAAGTGTAAATCTAGCTCTATGAAGGCAATGTTTGCTACCATTTGATGAAAGCATCCTTGAGAAAATGAGCCGAATGGACTCTGAGTCTGATTTCAGCTTCTAGAGTTCATGTGGAGATGTCAGCAAGGTGATGAGTGAGTCCTAAGGAACATCAGTCGCCCCAGCTGGAGTGTCCGGGATCTCCAGAAACATGCTCAGAGGTTGTATGCATGTTTTATAGTTTCTGCGTCTTGAGTTCACCATGACCTACCTACACCTCTCAAGAACCTATCATGGAGTGAAATGAGCGTCCTCAGCTATCTAGACATTAAAATACAAAGGGGAAAGCAGGCACTTCATTGGGACATGGTCCTACAGCCAAGTACAGAACAGGATGGGAGCCAGACGTACTAGGGCACACAGTTCTCAGATGATAAAGGCAGTGAATACCTTGACAGCCTCCAACATGTCTGGGTCTTTAATCACACACTTCTACTCCGGACTTAGGTAGTTCCCTAGTTCTGGTGCTTAGCTATTACCCTTGGAATTCCCTTCTTTTCTCCTGTGTTGAATTTCCTTTTTGCTCACTTTGTTACAGAGCACATCCTTCAGAAAATTCTTGAGGTGGTGCACAGGATGTAAATTTTTTGAAACCTTGCATGTCTGGAAATGTATTCTGCCCCCATATTTTTATTATATTAGTTTCAGGTGTACAAAACAATGATTAGATATTTAACACCTCACAAAATGATAACCCCACCAAGTCTACTACCTGTCTGACACCATATATAGTTATTACAATCACATTGACTGTATTCCCTATGCTGTACTTTGTATCCCATGACTACATATATGTGTATATATTATATATATATATATATAAAATACATAATAGTTGACGTTCAATATTTTATATTAGTTTCAGTTGTACAGTGCAGTGGTTAAGCATTTATATAATCTATGAAGTGACCCCCAGATAAGGCCAGTACCCACCTGACACCCTCCATAGTCTTTGTAACATTATTGATTATATTCCCCATACTGTATTTCACATTCCCGTGACTATTTTGTGACTACCAATTTGTACTTTCTAATCCCTTCACCTCTCACCCATCCCCCAACCTCCCTCCTGTCTAGCAACCATTGGTTTTTTCTTTATGAGTCTTATTTCTGTTTTGTTTGCGCTCTACCTCCATATTTGATTGATAGCTTGGTTAGGTATAACATTGTAGGTTGTAGATTATTTTCCCTCAGAAGTTTAAAGGATTTTTCCCATTTATTTCCATTTTTACTGTTTGGAATTTGAAGCCATTCTGATTCCTAACACTTTATTTGTTACTGTTTATTTTTGTCATTTCTCTAAATCAGTAGAACCTCTGTCTCCAGTGTTCTAAAATTTCACAATGATGGTTTTTGTTATAGATCTGTTTTCATCCATTGTGCTGAGTCCTATCAACCAGAAGGTCCATGTCCTTTCACTTGTGGAAAGTGTCAAAAATTGTTTTTATTTTCTTCCTTATATTTTCTCCTTTTCTCTCTTGAATTCCTATTATTTGAAGTAGGACCTTCCGGACAGGTACTCTAAATTTACTTATGTTTCTCACTCATTTTTATGTCATTTTACTCTACTTTCTGGGATAGTTCCCCAGTTTTATCTTCCAACCTTCTATTGAGTTTTTCATTTCTCCTTTAAGACTTAATTTCCAAGAGTTAATTTTCCTTTGAATTGCTTTTTTGTTTGTTTTAGGGTTTGATGCTAGAGACTTTCCTCAGATCTGTGGAAATTCCTGTCCATCATTAAGATTGGAGGAAGAAAACACTGGAAAGTCTAAATAGATGAGCAGCATTTGATGATTTTGAGCTTTATTGTAAGGCGGTCTAGCTGAGCTGTTTGGGAATCTTCCCAATGTCAGTATCTTCCGTTATTTCTTCATGGAATAGTTATATTTCCAGGGAAGTTTCATTCTGCTTTGGGAATAAAGGACTAGCAGGTAGAGTCCTGTGAGCCAAGTCGAGGAAGGTAGGTGTGGGGGTATTCTCTATTTTCAGCATCACTCTTCGTGAGATTAATTACTAGATTATATACATACATATGTGTGTGTCTATATACATATATATGCAGACACATACATATAGAGTTAATCCTCATTAATCATGGAGTCCCTATTTGAAAATTTGCCTTCCTGCTAAAACTTGTA